TTGGCAGCTCCTGGTCACCACTGCCCTGTATGTCATTGGCAGCTCCTGGCCACCATTGCCCTGTGCGTCGTCAGCAGCTCCTGGGCCAAGTGTGTTGTTGATGTTGTGAGTTGTCTCTGTGGCTTTACAACCCATGTTGAACTCTAATAAGAAAATCGCTCAAATTTGCTTTTGTTTAACATCATTTCCATAGTCTAAAATAAACATAAAATAAACAGCAAGTAACAAGTCATTAGCAAAAACATAAAGTGAGAAATGCACATTAAAATGGTAAATAACATAACGTTTATTGGAGCACATATTCCAATATCAAACGGCAAACATTCCAGCAACGCGAGACCACAGCTACTTCTGCACTCACCTCATAACTCAGTTGAAACACACGACGAATTTGTCACCTGCTGCACCCGGGCACCATCGTGTCATCTACAAGGCCCCGGGAGGCTGCCGTGGGTGAGGCCTGGTGAAGTCAGGAGCACTATGCATACGTCTCTGCGTTATTTTCAGGGATAAAAGTCATATATTCAGGGCCGGGCGCGGTGGTTCACACCTGTAATCCCAGCACTTTGGGAGGCCAAGGCGGGCGGATCACAAGGTCAGGAGATCGAGACCATCCTGGCTAACGTGGTGAAACCCTCTCTTTACTAAAGTAAATACAAAAAAATTAGCCAGGCGAGGTGGCAGGCACAGTAGTCCCAGCTACTCGGGAGGCTGAGGCAGGAGAATGATGTGAACCCGGGAGGCGGAGCTTGCAGTGAGCTGAGATTGTGCCACAGAGCGAGACTCCGTCTCAAAAAAAAAAAAGAGAAAACCGTACATTCTCAGCATGAAAATTCAGATATTACAGAAATGCCGCATAGGAAACAAAACATTCTGTCCCGTGATAACCACTGGGAACAGTTTCTTCCAGATGTCTGTGTGTGTGATTTTCAAAATTCTTGTTTTTACAAAAATAGAAAATGTTTCTAATAGCATATGTTTCAAAAAACATGCTATTTTGTGATGTGTAGCAAATGCCTATTTCCAGGAGCTGGGGGTGGAGACCA